CAAGCCACATTGCTATTGCATACTTGGTATGATGGGCTGATTCTGCTTCTATGTCGACATATCAGCACAAAAGTGAAATAAGGGGATAGGACTCTCCCTGTCTCCCACTATGACCCCCATCCCTTGCAGTAATTCATTGATTTGAACTTTAAAAAATACTATGTTCTCGTGCTATGGAATAATAGTATGAGGGCCTAGTTAGAAGGCTGAAGGAACTTTGGCCATGAAACCACAGACCAGCAAATTGGCAAATGCAGAGAGGTGTGATAGCAAGTTTTTTTTTGTTTGTTTGTTTTTGTTTTTGTTTTTTGTCGTGTCAGGAGCAAGTTGAGAAACTGCAAGTCACTTCTGGTGTGAGAGAATTGGCCGTCTGCAAGGACGTTGCCCAGGGGACGCCCGGATGATTTGATGTTTTTATCATCCTTGTTTTTATCATCTCTCATGTCCCTGTATGAGGAGCTGGAGCTGATAGAGCGAGCTCATCCGCCTCTCCCTGGATTCAAACCTGCGACCTGTCGGTCTTCAGTCCTGCTGACACAGGGGTTTAACCTACTGCACCACCGGGGGCTCCATAGCAAGGGTGACCATCCCAGTATGTTGCATGATCAGTGATCACAAAACTGTTGTGGGATGGTGACTTCATATGATAAAATTTATTCTCAAATTGCTATTTTCCTCTTTCTTCTTCATCTTCTTCAATGTATTGATTTTTTCATTGTTTGTAAAAAGATATCTTCAAGTACTCAACATTGTATGTCAGTGCTGAGCTTCATAAGAAAAGTTCTGACGTTCCTGTATTTGAAGAAGGAAGATGTTGACATTAAATTCTCACTTTAACAACTACCTGGTACAGTAAGAATGGCAGTTGAGGTGCATACGCTTTTGGTTTTGCAACTGTACACCTGAAATGAAGGAGTTTTTGTAGGAAAAGAGGGTTACTTTGAAGTGCTGTGTTTAGACTGCTAGCACAGAAATACACCGCTGAATCCTGTCTCTCAGCCAAGAAAATATTTAGATTGAAGTGTTTTGTCTGAGGGCGCTTGGCCACAAACCGGTCAGAAACTATGCTTTTTTCTATCAGGTTCTCAAAATAGAAGAGATAGAGGAACTGCAGGTGCAGCCCTGCATCTTGCCGGTACCAGAACATGCGTTCATGCTCTTCCGTTTGGGTGCACTTCAGGCTGGCGTTTTGACCTTCCTGCAGCACTATGCTTGGTGTTTGACTGATTCCTGCAATTGAACATCCTAGGAAAGAAAGAAATGCAATTATTTTTAACAAGAACAATGGTGAGGGCTTTCCTTAGCTGTATAGAATCCACACTGAACTGGATTATATGGTAGTGTGGACTCAGATAATCCAGTTCAAAGCAGATATTGTGGATTATCTGCCTCAATATTCTGGGTTATATGGCTATGTGGAAAAGCCCATAGAAGAGTGGCAAAATTAATAATGGGAACCTCCTCTCTGCTTGATTTTAGTTTGGTATTCATAATCCAAGCCAAAGAGAAAGCTTCATCCCTCCCTCCAGCTCAATTTGTAATTCACTAAAACATATTGCAAGATGGGCATGTTTATATTCCGTGTTGGTTCCCCACATTCTGAGGCATGTCTGATCTTCATTGAGAATGATAAAGAGAATCTATTATTAAAGTCTTACCTACTTTCAAGAGGCAAATAGTCAGAAAGCAGCAGGTCCTCATTGTTGCTTCTCTGAGATGTAGATAGGCTCTTGGCTTGCCCTTTCATACAGCTGCACTGGATATGCCCTCTCCAAACTCCAGTTTGAATGATTCCAGTGACTTTGCAGAAAGGTCAGGAAAGGCAGCACAACGTGATCAAAGTTTTACAAGCTGTTTTGGGCAAAACAAAATGTGAAATGTGGGGCAGGACCATGGATGATTAGAAGGGGAAGGGCTATGACTGCACAGGGAAGTGATGCAGGGCTGAACTATTGGGCGAGGATTTTGATAATACTTACTGAACACTTTTGAGCATAGCCCAAGATCTTTCTTGGGCTATGCTCAAAAGTGTTCAGTAAGTATTATCAAAATCCTCCTTTCTTTTGAGCATAGCCCAAGATCTTGAACTGGGTGAACCTTCAGTTGTTTACTTTGACTGTCAGGGCCCTTCCACACAGCCATATAATCCAGAATATCAAGGCAGAAAATCCCACAATATCTGTTTTGAATTGGGATATCTGAGTCCACACTGCCATATATCCCAGTTAAAAGCAGATATTGTGTGATTTTATTGAGCTGTGTGGAAGGGGCCTCAGAGAGGAGGGAATAATAATACGATATATGCTTTTTCTTTAACTGAAGTGGGATCCATGTGTTTTTCATTCTTGTATGTACAAAAAGGAAATCCAACTCCCACCCCACCTGCAAAATTCTCCATATCTGCAAGACATTTTCTATTGATCCTCAGAGAGTTTTTTGTTTTCTATTTCAAGAAAGGTTTTAGTGCAACTTGCATAAGTAGCAGAAAGTTAATGGCTAAAGTAACCAACATAGCTACCTTGTTGCATACACTTTTAAGGATTAGAAACATAATATGAGTTGTGTTGTTGAAGGCTTTCATTGCCGGAATCTGCGGGTTCCTGAGATTTTTCCGGGTTGTATGGTCGTGTTCCAGAAGCATTCTCTCCTGACGTTTTGCCCACATCTATGGCAGGCATCCTCAGAGGTTGTGAGGTTTGTTGGAAACTAGGCAAGAAACCACATAGGGAAGCTGATGAAGAAACACAACCAGCAAACTATCTACAGACCACTAAGAAAATCCAACGTTATGTTCAGCAAAGGACAAGAGGGATCCTCTCCCCTCTGCAAGAGTCTACCATATACCATGCAGCTGTGGACAAGTCTTAATAGGGACCACTAAACACAGCATTGCCCAAACACAAATCAAGGAACATGAAAGGCACTGCAGACTAAGTCAACCAGAGAACTGAACCAACCTGGACACAGAATATTGTTTGTGGAATGTCCAGGATGGGCGAAAGAACTCTTGTCTGCAGTGTGAATGTTGCAATTGGTCACCTTGATTAGCATTGAATGGTCTTGCAACTTCAAAGCCTGGCTGCTTCCTGTCTGGGGGAATCCTTTGTTTGGGATATATTAATTCAACCAGAGAAATAAGCCATAGCAGAGCACCTGATGAACCAACCTGAACACAACATATTATTTGAGAACACAGAAATTCTGGACCACTCTAACAATCACCATGTCAGACTACACAGACAAGCCATTGAAATCCACAAGCATGTGGACAATTTCAACAAAAAGGATGAAACCATGAAAATGAACAGAATCTTGCTACCAGTATTAAAAAATTCTAAAATCAGTAAAAAATAAAATTAAAAAAAGAGCAACACCCAAAAAACAGAGGAATTCCAGACAGGAAACAATCAGGGCTAGGTAACACCTCCCAACAAAGGATTCCCCTGGGCAAGAAGCAGCTGGGCTTTGAGGCTGCAAGGCCATTAAATGCTAATCAAGATGGCCAATTACAACATTCACACTTGCCTCAAGCAGACAAGAGTTCTTTCTCCCACCCTGGACATTCCACGGATATATAAACCTCACTTGTCTAGTTTCCAACCGACCTCACAACCTCTGAGGATGCTTGCCATAGATGTGGGCAAAATGTCAGGAGAGAATGCTTCTGGAACATGGCCATACAGCCCAGAAAACTCACAGCAATCCAATAATATGAGTTGCTTGCATGTTTTGATTCACAGGGGAGAAGAAGTATTTCTTCAAAACATGTGCACATCGCAACATCAACAGAAGTATCCATAGCCATATTTTCACACTATAGACAAGATAACTCATGTGCCTTGGTTATGTATGCCTCTTCTACAATGAGATATATTTCTCTGGGTCTCTACTTGTCATCTAGGTTGTATTCTCTTTCTCTTTTTCTCTCTCTCTTCCTTCCATTTATTGTGAAACTAGCTGTCCCCTGCCACGCATTGCTGTGGCCAGTCTGGTGATCTGGGAAATAAAGTAATGAGAAAGAACAACAACAACAACAACATGTAATTTCTTTATGCTTGTGAATAAACAGTATTTCTTGCTGTTTCTTTGTCAGTGTTGATGTGGAGATTGTCTGATTTGCCTACTCTGGAACATGCAACATATAATTGCCCTTCTTTAGGGGTCCCTTTCAAATCTATGATACTATATCTCTGTGTGTGTGAAACATATATATCTATATCTATGGCTGGATGGCTCTTTGTTTGGAGGGCTTTGATTACGTTTTCTTGCCCTGGTGAAGGGAGCTGGACTGGATGACATTAAGTATGGGGGTTCTGTGTGGGAAGTTTGCCCCAATTCTGTCATTGATGGGGTTCAGCATGCTCTTTGATTGTAGGTGAATTACAAATCCCAGTAACTACAACTCCCAAATGTCAAGGTCTATTTCCCCCAAACTCCATCTGTGTTCATATTTGGGCATATGGAATATTCGTGCCACGTTTGGTGCAGATCCATCATTGTTTCAGTCCACAGTGCTCTCTGGATGTAGGTGAACTGGTAGGCCTTAAGTATGGGGGTTCTGTGTGGGGAAACTCCAAAACTCAAGGTCAATGCCCACCAAACCCTTCTAGTGTTTTCTGTTGGTCATGGGAAGCCTGTGTGCCAATTTGGTTCTATTCCATCATTGGTGGTGTTCAGAATGCTCTTTGATTGTAAGTAAACTATAAATCCCAGCAACTACAACTCCCAAATGACAAAATCAATTTTTGAGAGATGGTCACTCCTTGGGATAGTAGGTGTCTTGTGGCCAAATTGGCAGCGATTCGTCCAGTGGTTTTTGAGTTAGGTTAATCCCACAAATGAACATGACATTTTTATTTATTTAGATGTACAGCAGGCAGGAGGAACAAGAAGGAACAAGCGAAACTCAGGCACCAGCACCCTCCCTCAAACTCAACCTATACTCACCTCTTGTATTTCTAAAGAGAGAGATAGCTCAAGTGCAGGGAATGAATAACCACATCAACAACAAAAAAAAGAAGGAATTGTGAACTTTTCCTCCCTTGTCATCTATTCTTCTTCCAGTACTGCACCAGTTTCACACATTGGTAAGTTTATGGGTGAAATATGAGATAGGGCACATGTAACAGTTCTTCCACAAGCACCAGACGCATCAGTAAAATGTTTTTGTAGGAAGAAAGGGTTACTTTGAAGTGCTGTGTCTAAGCTGCTTGCACAGAAATACACAGCTGAATCTCCTGGCTGTGCGGAGGCAATGTTCAGGTTGCAGCGCTCATTCTGGGGTTGATCAGCTGTGAACCGGTCTGGAACGGTGCCCTGTGCTTGCGGTTGTTTGCTATAGAAGCTATAGAGGAGCTGCAGTCCCTTCCCTCCGTCCTGCCGGTACCAGTACATGCTGTTATGCCCATAGCTTTGACTGCATGTCAGGGTGACTGAGTCGCCTTCAGGTAGCACCAGGCTCCATGGTTGTTTGATTGCGACATTTGAGCTTCCTGGAAAGGAAAGAACAGAGAGGGAAACGGATTTGTACAGCAGGGTCTCAGATGAGCTGTGCATAAGGGGATTTAATCAAGGATATACCTATTTCCAAAATGCCAGCAGCCAGACACCATACAATCCACATCTTTACCTTGAGCTGTCTGTCTGGCTTTTCAGATCCACATTATGCCCCACCTCCTGCTCTGATCCTGTCACATTGTCTCCAAGGATGACATCAGAAAGGTATGGTGAGGGGGGGGGGGGTCATTACTGTTTACAATATTTTACTGTAATAATTCACTGAAATCTTTAATAATGTACCATATATTCCGGCATATAAGACGACTGGGCGTATAAGATGACCTCCAACTTTTCCAGTTAAAATATAGAGTTTGGGATATACTCGCCGTATAAATATGATAATTTTCCTATTACTGTACCCCCTTTTCTGCCTCTCATATCTCGCACCTGCGCACCTGCACTACTTCACTGTAGTTTTCAGGAGCGAGATCTGACAGGCAGAGGAGGAGGTATGGTAATAGGATACAAGGGCGGGCCAGACAGGTAAAAGAGGTGTGATTTTCTGGGCCCAGAGCCACTCTATCTCTTTTTTCCATAGCCCGGGTGCAACGGATGCCTGCAGCTTGCTCTGCCCTTTACTTACACCTTCCCGGTGAGGCGCCCCTTAACCTCACTATCAGAACTGCATTAAGTCCACGAATCCTGATGAATGTCGCCCTTAATGCTTTCATACAGTCACTGCATATGGCAGGGAAGCGACCACTGCCATTTTTGAGCTCCCCCCACAATATGCAGCAACCACAGATTCTCCAATCTGGTTTGGAAGTTTCAGCACCTGCTCTATAAGACGACTCCCGGTGCATAAGACTACACCCGCATATAAGACGACTCCCATGCATAAGGAAACTCCAGCGTATAAGACGACTCCCATGTATAAGACTACTCTCGCATATAAGATGACTCCTGCGTATAAGACGACTCCCGTGTATAAGACAACCCCTGACTTTTGAGAAGATTTTCTTGGGTTAAAAAGTAGTCTTATACACCAGAATATACAGTAACTGGAAGCTGAGGCAAGGCATACTTGTTCTTCTCTGATTAGTCTTCCATCCCAATTCTATATATGTGCCATCTACTGACCAATGAGTCTACTGAGCCAAAAGGAGTAGGGAAATATTTTATTATATATTATATTATATTTTTCTACATTTCTGGTTCAGATTTTAGTGGCTAAGATCCTGCATCTAGCTTTGCCAACTCAGGGAGATCCAGGTTAGCCACCATTCTTTTCCTCCTTGGCTGCAACCAAATATGAATTGCCACTTTGTTTTGCCTCACTATTCAGTAAATAGCCACAATGGTCACCCTCATACTTGACAATTGCTGGTGGGCTTGTTTGAGTGTTGTTGTACAAGGAACTGGTGGATAACTCTTTATTCAACATCCTAAAACAGTCAGGTTGTGGAGGTTGGAAGAGACACCAAGATCGCATCTAGTCTAGCCCCCTGTCATGAAGGAATACCAAGTTAAACCAATCCCAAGAGCAGGGCATATCATCTCTGTTTAAAGGCCTACATATAAGGAGAATCTACTGTGTGTGACAATCTCTATTCCATTGTTAAAGGACTCAACGATGGAAGAATATCTTAAATATTTAGTGGAATCTGTTTTCTGGTCATTCAGATCCATTCGTTTCTGTTCTACCGTCTGGAAAAGGAGAAAAAAACTTTCTCCTTTCTTTATATTGCATTGTTTCAGATATTTAATGTGATTATAATATCCCGTCTCAATCATCTCAAAGACAAACATACCCTCCTTCAGTTTGCCATATGGTTTAGTTTCTAGATACTTTGTATCTTGTCATAGAATCATAGAGTTGTAAGATACCCCAACTCCCACACAATATACTCTTAACAGATGGCCACCCAACCTCTGTGTAAGACCTCCAGAAAAGAAGACTTCACCACACTCTGAGATAACGTATTTCTAACAGCTCTTCATGCCAGGAAGTTTTTACTAATGTTAGATGGGATTTTTTTTCCTATAGTTTGAATACATTGTTCCATGTCCTAGTCTCTAAAGCAGTGGTTCTTAACCTGTGAGTCACAGACTAACAAAAATCTGGTCCGTGAGCCTCCTTCCTCTTTATTTTATTTTATTTCTGCTCCTTTTGCACCACCTGCCACTACTTCCCTGTCACTGACCATGGCATATGTTCTGTATCACAAACTAGAGCTGATGTGGTCTCTCCAATGCAATTTTCTGAATCAGCACCCCAACCAAATTCAATGCCTCACATGTATGGAAACATCACATACCAATAAGGACACACGTAACACAAGGTAATACAAAATTACTGTATTATACAAACATTTTGGTTTTAAATTGAAAGCATTGTTTCTTCCCCTTCTTTCCCAGCTTCTTTGGTGTCCCCTGTGCCTTTGTTCCTCTAGATCAGGCATGGGCCAACTTTGGCTCTCCAGGTGTTTTGGACTCTAATTCCCACAATTCCCATCAGCCTACTATTAAACACAGAAGTAGGGATGAGAAAACAGTCAAATGTATATTGGATTGCCCAGCCCAATGTTCAGAAATGACTCGGTTAGCTTTTTTGAGGTCATTCATCAACAAGATGTTGGACTAGGTAGAGTTTTGGACTGATAGAAAGGTTGACAACTTTACAAACTGCTTATGGTAACCTAAGCATTGAGAGAAGAAACTACTATGAAAATGCCAAATGCTGTGACAGTATCCTACTCTCCTATTGCACTGGGAGTTTTGAAGGCCCTATTGGATGCTCCAGTGAAAGAAACATCTATCCTGGAAGCTTTGCCTTTTCACCTCTGTCCCTTTATTCACTCTCTCTTCCTTCAGTTTCTGGACCCGTTTTAGGTGAATGGAAGAGATTTAAATTCTAAAGAAAATATAGCAATACTGTGAAGATTTCCGGTTTTGACTAAATACTCACCTGCAACCATGAGAAAAACAGCTGCAAACCACTGTGCTTTCATCTCTAACAGTTTGCTTCTCAACTACCTTTGTTTTCTTTCATTTTGTGAGCAACTGTTACATGCTTATAGAAAGCTTGCTCTCAACTCAAAAATATAATGGCTCAGGGGCTCTCCCTGGTGGACATAAAGGTCATCCTTGACTGTGAAGCATATATTTAAATCTATATAAATAAAAAGGTAATGTTCATTTGTAGGATTAACATAACTCAAAAACCACTGGACGAATTGATTCAAAATTTGCACGCAAAACACCTATCAGGCCAATGAGTGACCATCACCCATAAAACACTGAAAAACACAATGGAAGAGACTTTAAAAGACAAAAACAAAAAATTACAATGCATGTGCAAAACCATATATACATATACATACATGCACATGCGCACACACATATGTGTGTGTGTGTGTATGTATATATATATATATATATACATGTACACAAATATATACACACACAAAACATATATACACAGACTGGGCCACAGCAACGTGTGAACGTGTGGCAGGGAACAGCTAGTATAGCATAATAACCTGCACTTTATGAATGGTGTGTGTGTGTGTGTGTGTGTGTGATCCCTGGTTTGTTGTTGAAGAATTTGAAAAAGAAACTTGGAACTGTGGTTATGGAAGTTATGCCACCAGCGCTAAAGAGATGATCCTTCGCCATCAGCTTCACTGGACCAGCCACATTGTTCAAATGCCCGATCACCTTCTCCCAAGGCAGTTGCTTTACTTGCAACTCACGAACAAAAAATGGATTGTCAGTGGACAGCAAAAGAGATTTAAATATGGGCTTTAAATATGTGGCATAAACACTGAGAACTAGGAAATCTTGACCTTCAAGTATCTAATTGGAAGTCAGCTGTTACTAACAGTGCTATATATTTTGACGAGGCATGAATAGAGGGCAAAGGGGAGACACGTGCCAAGAGGTAGGCATGACAAGCAAACACTTATCGGGACCCCCTTCTCTATGAAAAGATAATGGCAATACAGAATAGATCTCTTCAGTCATTTAAGTTCTCATCACCAAGACTCTGCTTCTGGGAGACAAACATACTTGGCCACAAAGGATTACCTATGATGATTATATTCACAGAGAGACAATCCTTGAACCAAAAGGTGTCATTTTGGTTATATTACAGTTGTGTTTTTAAGAACCAAGTCTAATTTTCAGTTTAATAAGGGTCTCGGTGATACAGAGAGCATGAGTATATTTAATTTTTCCTATGTAATGTAGAACCTTCTATTTTTCTGTTAAACCTGCTTTCTTATTTTGGCCCAGATGTCCAATCTATTGAGGTGATTTTGAATCCTGATCCTGACCTCTGCGGAATCAGCTGCCATATAGAATCACCTGTAAATTTGAAAAGCATGCCCTCTACTCCATCATCCAAATCATTGGTGATGATGTTAAACAACACCAAGCCCAGGACAGTACCCTGCGGCGTCCTACTTCTGTCCAGGATGTAACACATAATAATTGGCGAAGATTCTTTGATAGATAGAATCCAATACAATTCTTATCAATATTGTCGAGAAAATCCACTCAGATCTACATATGGTTGGGGCTATTCGGGTCTCTCTGGGGATAGAGTTTTGAAGTCGGAGAGCTACCACTAAGACCCCTTCTATACTGCCATATAAAATTCTTATTATCTGCTTTGAACTAGATTATATGGCAGTGTAGATGCATATAATCCAGTTCAAAAGAGATAATGTGGAATATTTGCTTTGATAATCTGGATTATATGGCACTGTAGATATGATCTAAGAAGACCTTGACCCATGTTCCTACAAATGATCTCAAAAAGCTGGTGGAACTGAGAGAAAGGCCTCTTCAGATGATTGTGGAACTTGAAGGGGTCCATAAAGAGAAATGTGGTCCCTTAAATAACCTGTCCTGCAGCACTCAGCTCCTACAAATCAATAGTTGAATGTTGAGTCAGCAGATAGGGCAATTCCATTGGTTCAATGACTCTATAGGTTCAATGGCTCAATGTAGTTGGAACTAATAAAATAATTCATGCCTGTGTTGTTTTGCTCCTCTCTTATTTCTGATCATTGATCAGAGATAACAGCCAGTGATAGAAGATAAGAGCAGAGCTGGAAGAGGAAGAGATAGAGCTTGCAAATGAAGACTGATATGGGTTCCCCTTTCTGAGCCTTCCTATGATGCAATTTATGAAAAATACGATTCATGACCAGTTAGCAACTTCCAATTTGATAATATTATGCTTTATACAATAAGAAGTGCAATACACCTGCTTGCATGTCTGAACAAGACACAGTTCTGCATGGGGGTGCAATTAAGATCTGTGATCAATTGACAGGGGGATTCTGGGAGTTACATTCCAAAAATTAATGTTTCAGAATATCCTCTTGATTTGGAGATTTGGAGAAAGAATTCCAAACCCGCAGCTGACTGATAGAAGAGATTTCATTGAAATAATACCGTATTTACAATTCTAAGGCTTTAATTAGTATATGTGTATTATTTGTGTAGTGTGGCAATGGTTATTAACTCTTTCCTTATAGGCATTTTTTTTCTGACTACAGCTGCCCACCCTGTCATGGCCACCCAACCCTTTTTTCTGTTGATGCGACATGGGAGCTGTAGTCCAACTATAGCTTGAGGGCCACAAATTCCCAAAGCTTCAGATCTAAAGAGAGTTAACTCATTTCTCCTAGATCTTCTGTGAGGGATTTTTTTTTTCAGAGGATTGTCACTGAAACCAAGCACAGAGCAAAAGTAGCCAAAATTGAGAATATTTTGTTTAATTTGCAGGTCAAGCTGCCTGGATCTTGGAAGCCACGTTTGTGGAACATGCTAACTGTAGCCTTGGTGGCTTGGATTTTATCTGAATGTAGCCAAAATTGAACTTTGTTTTGGCTGTTAAGCAGAAAGATTGAGCTTCATGATTTATTTAATCCAAATCGGATGGGGGAATATTGATAAGACAGGAGCAGCTACAGCTGCTGTATTTCTCACCCTCTTTGGAAATATTATCCAGGAAATGGTTGGGTTTTAAGCAGTTGTGGCTCGGATGGGGTGGAGGCAGGGTTACTCCAACATTCATGTGCAGCTAAGAGGCAAGAAGTGCTCGCTGTGCCTTTACTAGCTGCACAGAAATACACGGCTGATTCTGCAGCCTGTTTTGCAGGGACAGATAGGGATGCATGTGTCACATTCGGCCTCTCTATACTGTAGGTGGTCATAGTCATCTCTGGGGTATTCCCATGGACAGAGTAGCCAACTAGCTGCAGTGTCCTGTCTGCGCTGTTGCTGTCCTGCCGATACCAAAGGACAGTCAAGTAGGTGCTCTCATCGTGATTGCAGTCGATACTTGTCTTGATTCCCACCTGGATGATTTTGTACTGTTCTTTTTGTGTCACAGTCACTGCATGGCAAACACCTGTAAAGAAATAAGACATGAATAAAGATCCTTGGGAAGGAAGCCTACTCAGATCACTGTTAAACATCAGATATGCCAGTCAGATTATCACTCACTCCCTCTGTTCAACAACATATGGATTTTATACCTAACATTTGAATTTCCTTGATCAGAGTGAGGTCCACAATATGTTGTAAACTGGTTGGACGAGAAGAGCTTAAAATCTCATCGCTTCACCCTACATTTTCCAATTCATCCCTCTATTACATTTTCCCCAGAAGTTCTACCCACCCACTCATCCCTTAGCATTCCCAATCCCATAAAATATATGTAGTAAAGGCATCCCACCTGTAAATGAGATTCTTACCTGCCAACAGTTGCAGACATGCCAAGATGCTCACCAACTCCCAGCACATGGCTTCTGTGGCAAGAGAAATGAAAAAGATACCCAACGCACCCACATCCTGAAGGAAAGCCACTCGTAAAGAAGGTGTCTCACTTGAACACCTCATTGGTGGGAGGAGCAGACTCTGAGATGTTCAAATTGATGAGGCAGAGCTGTTGAGGGACTGCAGAGAAGAAGGAACTCATCTCTGTCGATATTGCATCATTATTTTAGAATATTGTCATAGTTATTATGTGCTCTTGCTTAAACTATCATAAACTCTCATCATAACCAAGCTCTCATAGGACTCTTCCACACAGCCATATAACCCAGAATATCAAGGCAGATTATTCCACAATACCTGCTTTAAATTGGGTTACCTGAGCCCACACTGCCATACATTCCGGTTCAAAGCAGATAATGTGGGATTTTATTCATCTGTGTGGAAGGGCCCTTAGTTGTTCAGTGGATTTACAAAAATGAAGAGAAGTGGGCACACCACTCAAGAGTGTTTTTAATAAATAAAGTATACATTGTATTGTTGAAGGTTTTCTTGGCCGGAATCACTGGGTTGTTGTGTGTTTTCCGGGCTGTATGGCCATGTGCCACAAGCATTCTTTCCTGACGTCTTGCCTGCATCTATGACAAGCATCCTCAGAGGTTGTGAAGTCTCAACCTCTGTGGATGCCTGCCATAGATGCAGGCGAAACATCAGGAGAAAATGCTTCTGGCACATGGCCATACAGCCTGGAAACACTCATAACAACCCAAAGCATAAATCACATTCCTACTGCATTTCACTTTTCATTACAAGTAAAATTCATTGGCAGCTCTATGCAGAATCTTGGCCAAAACACTGTTCTTCTTAGTTTCAATATTTGGGAGAGCCACAGGAACAAACTGATTTATTTTGCTCCACAAACCTTTTCCATAGGCCACTGCTTCTCAACCTTCCTAATACCATGACCACTTAATACAGTTCCTCATGTTATGGTGACCCCAACCATAATATTATTTTCGTTGCTACTTCATAACTGTAATTTTGCTACTGTTATGAATCACAATGTAAATATCTGATATGTTTTCATTCACTGGACCAGATTTGGCACAAATTCCCGATACATGAAAATTTGAATACCGGTTGAGTTGAGGGATGGTTGATTTTGTCATTTGAGAGTTACAGTTGCTGGTATTTATAGTTAACCTACGATCAAAGAGCATTCTGAACTCCACCACCAGCGATGGAATTGAACCAAACTTGGCACATAGAACTCCCATGACCAAGAGAAACTACTGGAAGGGTTTGGTGGGCATTGACCTTGAGTTTTGGAATTGTAGTTCACCCACATCCAGAGAGCACTGTGGTTTCAAACAATGATGAATCTGGATCAAACTTGTACGAATACTCAATATGCCCAAATGTGAACACTGGTGGAGTTTGGGGAAGATAGAACTTGACATTTGGGAGTGGTAGTTGCTGGGATTTATCAAAGAGCATTCCGAACCCCACCCAATTCTGAACCCCACCCAATCTGAACGACAGAATTGGGCCAAACTTCCCACACAGAATAGAAAATACTGTGTTTCTTGATGGGCGTTGGCAACCCCTCTGACACCCCCTCACGATCCCCCCAGGTGTCCCAACCTCCAGGTTGAGAAACACTACCATAAGCAGACTTCTTCATGCTGCCTACTAGAAGGGGAGAGGGTATAACAGAGAGAGAACAGAGTTCTGTCCCAAACAGAGGATTCGTTCATTTATATTTAATTGGCTTCAATTGTAAAGGGCGATGAAGACTGAGAATGTAGATTCAGCCAGAAAGGTCTTTGATGCAAAGAAGCTCTTTGCAAGGAATTCAAAGGAACCTAAGGTAAGATTCCGTCATGTTTAAGGAAGAAAGGCCCCAATATTTGTAACTGAAAGATAAGATCCAGTTAAAATTTAGATCACATTTTTCAAGTTCACACCATTATAATTTGCAAAAATAGAGAAAGAAGGGAATTAAAAATAGCCGGAATCATAACAAAAGATTAATTTGTGTATTTTGTGATTAGTGCGTGATGTGGTGTGTTTCTTTTCCACCTGTTGTTGATACAGGCCCAAGTAATGATTTTCAGGTTTTCCATTGTGTGTTTTTCTCTTGTGTACAATCCTTGGGATGGAGATAAAGGTCTCTCCCAGAGGATAAATATAGACAATTCATTCTGGTTTTCCACTTAGGCAGACAAAACCATGAAGTCCATTTTGCTCGTAGCCTTCCTGGGAGTGGCTCGTAAGTCTGTATATCTTCTTATAGTTCCTCTATGGACAACGTGTTGTGGCAACTCCAACTATGGAACCCATGCTTGTCTTATGACTGAGAGGAAAGCCTTTCTGATGGCCTCCATATATGCAAGTGTGCTATATAGACTGAGGAACCTGAGCTGTTTGCAACAATGCTCAGCTGAAGTCTTTGGTATAGCTGAATTCTTGAAACTAGGCAGGACAGGTTTTCTTCTTTGTTTTTCATCAATAACTACTGAAAATCCTCTTGATAATCAATTTAAATAGTTATGGGGTTCCAGGACAGTTTCCCACAAATTAGCATTGAGCTGGACCGTTATATTTGATACGGTCCCTATTACGCAGTGCCATTTTGCCTCCCCAATCCCAACAATTCTTCTGTCCCTTTTAATTGACAGGTAAAAACTGTCAATCACTCCCTATCCCACTACATTCCTATTACTTATCTTAGGGCCCTTCCACACAGCCATATAACCCAGAATATCAAGGTAGAAAATCCCACAATATCTGCTTTGAACTGGGTTATTTGAGTCCATACTGCCATATATTCCAGTTCAAAGCAGATAACATGGGATTTTATTCAGCTGTGTGGAAGGGTCCTTATTGTGATGAACTCTCCTTCCACTTCTATGCCAACTTGATGTGCAGGTGTGCTGGGTAGGGAGTAGTGCAGGAAGGTGGCAATATGATGTTGTGTGAAAATCTGGTCACAGGGCCGCAGACTGGCAAGCCGGTATAATTGCATTTCTGAAGACAGATGTAGTGTCAAAGGTATTCATCTTGGTTGTAACTATCTATGATCTCCAGCAATGCCCCTGTTGTGGGATAGTGGGTTGGTGTGATAAAGTCCTCTGTAATCAAGCCCAATATCTCCAGTAAGCATGGCTAGCAGTCATGCTGGTTGGGAGACCCTTAGAATTGTGTGCCTTAACATGACTTTTCTGAGCTCTCATGCAACCTTATTTAAGGGACAATATGCTCCAGGGAATGCAGTAAACCCCACTGAGATGAATTTGATTCCAGGTGGCATGTTATATTTTAAAATAAAATCATAAAATTACTACCAGGTATCTATGCTCATAGTGTAATTATGCTATTCTTCATAGTGCATTAAACTTAAACTGTGTGGTGGCATGTATTCATAAATCAGCTACCAGCTCAGCATATGCCTCCCAGGAACCCCAATGATGGAATTCTTTGTGGTTTTCCCCTAGTTGCCTTCCCCATCGATGATGCCGATGATGATAAGATTGTGGGAGGATACACCTGCCAGAAAAATTCAGTCCCTTATCAAGTCTCACTAAATTCTGGATACCACTTCTGTGGGGGTGCCCTCATCAACAACCAGTGGGTTGTGTCAGCTGCTCACTGCTACCAATCGTAAGCAATATGTTTTTGTCATTCTGCCTGTGACAGCACTATTGTTTTTAAATGATAGCGAACTTGGGCATGAAACTTGCAATTGAAACCACCTTCTGCAGTTTCCATCCTATGCTAAAGAAGATGTTTTAATTGTTTGACGATATAAGTTTCGTTTCCAAAAGTATATTGTAAGCTAATTTTCAGTAGAAAAGTGCCCAAGCCACTTTGAGCAACAGGATGCTCCCAAGAGCAGCAGCATTAGTGCTCTCTATGGCTTTGGGATGATGTGTGCCAAAAGTGGTTAGCTAGTAGTGAGGCTGTTTCATGGCGTTCTTGTTCCATCTCTCAACCCAGACGAATCCAAGTGAGACTTGGGGAACACAGTTTGTCCTTAAATGATGGCTCTGAGCAGTACATAAATTCAGCAAAAATCATCCGTCATCCCAACTACAACTCACGACTCTTGGACAACGACATCATGCTGATCAAGCTGTCCACACCAGCCACCCTCAACAGCCGAGTCACATCTGTCTCTCTACCCAGCAGCTGTGTCTCGACTGGGGCACAGTGTCTCATTTCTGGTTGGGGTAACACCCTCAGCAGTGGCAGTAAGTCCTCCTTGTGTTTTTGTCAACATGCGATACTTGCCAGCAGGTACAATAGCAATGTTGCTAAGGAAATGTTAGCATTATAAACTGATAGTCATGATCTTAAGGTGCTATTATGTATTCAAAATAAGGAATAGAAAGATAAATAAATATGCAAAGGTACATTTGTGCTTATCACATGTGATCTCAAAATAACTCCTCCAAATATTTCTCCTCCCCACTTCTGTTAGAACATTTGTATATCTGGAAATGTATAGTTATGCCATTAACTCAAATGAAAGCAATAAGCTTCCAATTTTCAGAATGAATGCATCTCTTTTGTCTCTTTTGTTGTAGCTTACTATCCTGACACACTGCAGTGCCTGAAGGCTCCTGTACTGTCTTCAACGCAATGCAGAAATGCTTATCCAGGGCAAATCACAAACAATATGATATGTATCGGATTTTTGGAAGGTGGTAAAGATGCTTGCCAGGTAAATCTTCCTCCCCATTTCCCCAAACATGAACAGTGTTTGCCAGCCTCTCTTGACTTGTGTGTTCCTCCTCATTCATAAGTTTTATTATCTTGTCCTATATTGTTGGACCACACGTCTCAGTTTCCATCTGTGACACATTGCAAAGTACGTGAGATGTAGGTTTCATTACAATTGTTATTGGTACGAGCTCATTAAAAATAGTCAGAAGTGGCCCAGAGTTTGGAGGACCTGAGCAGGTCTGTTAAAAGTAGGATCTTTTATAGATCTCTTACTCATATGGTCTTGAGAAGTTGGTTGATTTGATAGCTCATGACATCTAAAGAGTAGTAGATAGCATTACAAGAGTGTTCTTTGATGCTTTATATAGCAATTACAGTTTTCTGTGTTCATTCTTTGCAGAAAAAAACCTAACTTCTTCACTATAGAGTATTGTACTGTATATATTTTAGTGTGACTAGAGAAAAGATCCATGGTATACATCAGGATGCAGTCCATTGATTACATGCAGCCACCACTAGTCCTATCTAATTTTGGGTGGTAGAGGAGATCCGTTTTTGAATGCAAATAATCTTCTCTTTCTGACACTATCACTTACATAATGTGCTTCCTTCACATTTCTTTATAGGGTGACTCTGGTGGTCCTGTAGTCTGCAATGGGCAGCTCCAGGGTGTTGTCTCCTGGGGCATTGGGTGCGCTCAGAGGGGCTATCCTGGAGTCTATACCAGGGTCTGCAACTATGTCTCATGGATTCAAAACACTGTACGTTCCAACTGATTACAGCTTCTCCGTTAGTTTGGATTCAGAACTATGATGCATGTAAAGTAGAGTCATGAAAATTAAAGTATGATTCATGCAAAGTGGTCTCTGGTGATTATTTATGCTTTCTCTCCTTTGCTGGTGGGGGCGGTCTTTGTCCCTGAACAAGGTCACATTTCTACTCATTTTATTTATTCTTGTGATCAATGGCTAACACTTTGTTGCTTAAGAGTGTCAGCTGATATATCTCCCATGTCACCAGTCACCATTAACACCAACTGCAGAACATAAGGCATTGTAAGACCGATGCTTCATCCTCTATTTTTCCATAAATTCATATTTAATTTGCCTACACGAGTGCAGCTTAAACATTTGTTCCATACAACATTGGAGTAACTGGCCCCTCCACCAGCAGAGGGGGTGATTGTTCATGCTGCATTAGCGTAGGAATACAGTAAACTGTCAACAGGAGTTCAAAGTTCAGCCACTGACTTTGTGCATTCATGCTCATTAATATCTTGAATGTGTGAAAAAGCATAATAGATGGCATACAACAAGTAGTATTCCCTATTTTGTTGGTGTTCTGTACCTTTGAATCATTTCCGACAATGGCAACCCTCAGGCACATGTGCCATAGGGTTTTCTTGGTTGGTTTTGTTGCCCCAGAGGCTGAAAGAATGTGACCTGCCCAAATTTTCTATGGCCAGATGGAGATTTGAACCCAGGTTTCCAAAGTCATATTCCAACGTTTGAACCATTACATCATGATGGTTCTCATTACTCGTTCCCAAGACACACTAGGTGTTTTTTGGAGGCTGATTCAGCTGCAAGTCTTTTTGTGTGACAAAAGCAAGTAAAGAACAATCTAGTGATATCCACATGCCCTCTTAACGCACATGTCCTATGAAGCCCTGTTAACTCTTCTGCTGGTGATGCTAGGAATCTTGACAAAATAATCAGGGTCAACGGAAATGTTGCAATGTTTGGATTGCTCCAACATAACATCTCCCATCAATCCTAGTCAGTGCCAAGGAATCATGAGAGGAACACTCTAGCAACCATTTAGAAGGCCTCAAATTCTACATTCCTGGTGTTGATAAACAAAGAAGACATGTATTGTCAAAGGTTTTCACGGTCAAACTAACGGGAGTGTTGTGTGGTTTCTGGGCTGTATGGTCGTGTTATTGCAGTATTTTCTCCTGACATTTTACCTGCATCTCTGGCTGGCATCTTCAGAGCATCTTCAGCCTATAAATCCCTAAATGGTCCCAGCCTAGTTTACCTGTTCGAACATATCTTCCTCCAGGAAGGCCCTGCTCCCATCCCTTTGCAGTCACAACTGGTGGGAACGAGAGACAGGGCCTTCTCCATGGTGGCCCCCAGCTGTGGAACTCCCTCCCCAATGACATTAGACTTGCCCCCTCCCTCCTGACCTTTCCCAAAAAACTCAAATCCTGGCTGTGAGATCAAGCATTTGAACAATAGATGGATCAACTGGGAAAAGAATGTTTTTTAGTTGACCGCAATTGTATGGATCCGGATTATGATTTTGAACTGGTGAACTGTTTTTAAATTGAATGTTTATAACTGTTTTAACTATGTCAATTGTAATTATGATTTTAATTGTATTGTGTTGGCATCTAATGGTTGCCTGTTGTAAGCCGCCCAGAGTCCCTCTTCGGAGGTGAGAAGGACGGGATATAAATGCTTGAAATAAAAATGCCTGAAATAAACAAACAAACAAGCAAATCCTTTGAAAATGCCAGTCACAGATGAAGCCTAAACATCATCTGGATTGTGGGACCACAAATGGTGTGGGAATAATTGTATCGCAAGGATTCCAACATTCGATAGCTGAAGTGCAGCAGTATGACAACCAACTTATGAAGATTATTATTGTCACTGAAAAATGGCGGTATCACATCTTTTCACCATACGCTTCTCAAACCGGGTGGACTGAACAGGTTAAGGACAATTTCTGGATACTACTGCATGACAAGACCACAGATGTACCAAACTCTGTTTAACGTTATAAAGATCTCAATAAAGGAATAGTTTCAGAGAGTTGTAATAGCTTTTCAACTCTGTTTCCCATTAACCATCTGTGTGTGTCTGTGGCTCCATTTTTTGACATCCCAATCAGCTGTTTGGGGCTTTTAAAACGTGCACGTGCACTGGAGCAGTCCACACAGGGGGAAGGGAAGGAAATCATATGTTTTGCATGACTTCAGAGATATACAGTAATGCAAAAGTGCACATTTTTTGGCGGAATTGGGTTTTAAGCTCACCTTTTAAACATATGTTTTTCAGATGTTAACCCAATTTCTGCTGCACTTTTGCTAAACATCATTTGGCCACCACCCCTTTTTAGCCCAGTTACTTCCAGTTTTTCAGGTATGTGTAGAAGGGCCCAGAGAATCATAGCATCCTAAAGTTGGAAGAGACCCCAAGAGTTATCCAATCCAGCTCTAGTCTGCTGTGCAGGAAGGTACAATCAATGCACTCATGGCTGGTAGTTATCCAGCCTCTGCTTATAAACTTTCACCACACTCAGAGACATAATAGCTGTGCCCCATGTTCCTTCCTGGCAAGAGACACTGATTTGGATCTTTAGGTACCAAAAATATCTTGGGCAACAATTCAGTTGTAAAAACAACAACAACCACAGAGCTGGATAACAGATATTTTAATTTATCTTCTTGTGTTCCCACGTGAAGAGGTTTATGCTCAACTTCCTCATTGGTTATCTCACTGTGTATTCTCTCTTGGCACAGAAGTAGGTGCCAGTATCTTCCAACTGAGCGTTCTCCAATGACAAAGGCAATTCATATTCCTTCACTCCAGTGGTCTTGAAGCGGTTTTTAAATTCCTTATCTACATCATCCTTTCCTCCAGAACCTTCGATTGAAAAAATCACCAATTGAAGCCGCATATCTTTTCCTCTTTCTTGCTTATACCAGAACATGTAAGTATATTGGGATTGCTTTTGGGAACAGTTCAGAGTCACAGATTTCCCTCTCTCGATTACCGTGTCTAGGGATTGTTCAAGTGCAGAAACTGTAAGGAAATACAAAAGTATAACACTGAATCAGAAGATTTGGAAACCTAGGCCACTTCTATACTGCCATATAATCAGACTATCAAAGTAGATAATCCACATAATCTTCTTTGAACTGGATTATATGAGTCTACACTGTCATATAATCCAGTTCAAAGCGGGCAATCTGGATTTTATATGGCAGTGTAGAAGGAACCTAAGGGAGTTGTTATAACTTGAAAAACATTATTCATTTTTAAATGGTGATGATTCATCTAACATTGGAAAGTATAATCCTGAAGGCTGCATTTTTATAAACGGGACTAGTTACATTGAACTCATATTTTCATTATTTTATATAGGACTATACTATTAAATGTTCTATTTCTAACATAATACTGCAACCAATTTATAAGGCTGGAATAAAAAGAAATACAGAAAAGTGTCCAAGATTAAGAAAAATATATTATTTTGTTCTTTCATAGTTCCAGCATTTATTTTGAAAGTAAATTCTGTGTTCTAGAAACCAAACACCTGCAAGCTTGCAGAAGTCTTTGTGACCCACAATGGAGTCCTGTACCAAATAAATATGAGTTACGTTATCATTACTACCACAACTTTACTTTTCAGCCTTTTGTTGATTTTCACCCTGAACCAGCTTTAGCTAATGCAAGTAATACTTGAATTGCACAGCCTTAAATTTCTTTAACAATGATTAAATGAAATGTAACAACAAATTCAAGGAGACCCACCATATTTCAATTTGGGGCTTAAAATGCACCCCAAGTTTGAAAAGATGTCAGATTTAACTATTGTGGCAAATGACTTACCTGGTGAGAACAATAAAACGGCCAGCAAATGAAAGCCTATTGGAGGAATGGGGCATTTCATTAGCCATTTGCCTGCCTGGGCCAACTGCAGAAACAGCAACTGGAGCATTTTTAACACAGGCCATAGGACTCACAGAACAAAATACTAATGTCAGAACAGGAAGTTGTGTGGAAGGCAAGCATCATATAGATGCCACAGTGGGGTAAAGTCACAGCCGTCAGGAAGAGGTTTTGTTTAGATGCAATACCATAATAATATGCAATGAAGTCTCATTCAGGCTGGATCTACACTGCCCTATATCCCAGGATCTCATCCCAGATTATCTGCCAGATAACCCAATTCAAAGCAGATAATCTGGATTTTATATGGCAGTTAAAAGGGGCCTTGTCTGGGCTTTCTCCAAAAACAGTGTATTTTTTATCCCAGGGCTCTTCAAGAAGTCTTGACGTGTAACACCAGCCAAAACTCTTGAAGCATTTATTTTCTTGTTTATCTACATATATGTAGATAATGAGTTTTCACCTAGGTTCAGTTTAATACAATTGGCTTGCTCACACTGACTACCATATCTAGAAATGGATGACAAAGTTTTGTGGATCTTTAAACATTAAAATACTATAATCATATGAGTTGGAAATAAAGCTGAGTGTAGCTTAAAAACAGGGAAAGATGTCAGTCCACTATGCATTGCAAACTTGGGCCAGATCTACACTGTCCTATATCACAGCATCTGATGCCAGCTTATCTTATTTAAACTGAATTATATGAGTCTACACTGCCAGATGATCTTCGACAAGCAGATAATCTGGGATCAGATCTGGGATCAGAACTGGACAGTGTCAATTGAACCCTAGATTGTGTTATTTCTATCACAATTTGCAAATATTTGAAAGTTTTAAAAATGTCATATCAAAAAGAGAGAAAGAGAAAGAAATTCTAAAATTAGCCAGGATTGAAGAGATTTTGGCCCCTTCCACACAGCTGAATAATATCCCACATTATTTTCTTTGAAGTGGAATATAAGGCAGTGTGGACTCTGATAACCCAGTTCAAAGCAGATATTGTGGGATTTTCAGCCTTGATATTCTGGGTTATATGGCTGTGTGGAAGGGCCCTTTTCTCACCCAAAGTTGTCAGTATATAAGTCAAAATTCTTCAGGTATTCAACTGTTTCCTGGCCCATCCAGACAGCCTCTTTATGGCGGAGACATCCACAATAAAAAGTTGGTTGTC